AGATCAAGATCAAGATCAAGAGGATTATCAATTGTTTACTATAACAATTGAAAGGTATGTAACTCCTAAACTCTAGTTTGTTAATTTCGAAATTAGCCTCTCTCCTCTAGGGTTCTTGTTTGCAATTCAAAGTTGTATGTTCAATAGTTAAAACATAGACCCAAAGTAGGTTGCATGTGAACTTAGGAATTGTTTTCTGGTTTATTTGTTTTACCTAAAACCCATCAGTTTTGTCCTAAACCTTATCTTATGATTGAGGGTTGCTAAAGATAGATTCACATGGACGGGAACGTATACACCATAAAATCTAAGTGGCAAAGTTTTCGCTCTAATTCATGACAATGATTATGAGGAAACACTTTCGCTGGTAGATTTTAAAGATCTGATAAATATCGTTATGGTTAGTGTTTGTGTTAATTGCATTCTCAAATTTGCAATATGATTACGACATCCCTTTTCATAGTTCGAATTGTGAGAAATGGCAAGGAACTGTTTGAACCTTCAGGACGTATGACAATAAGTTCTGAAAGGGTTTAAACACACACGTATGCTGTCTAATGACGGTGTATAAGCTTGAAAAGTCTAGTTGAAGACTTGTTGAAGCGTTACATATCGTAAATATGCACTTTAGTAAGAAAGTCAATAATATTGATTTCTAAAAGTCCAATTGATTTCTGGGTACATGTCAAAGCTAGTGGGAGCATAAGTATTATGCTAGTGGGAGCGTAATTGTTATGCTAAGTGTTGCAAGTTGGCAATACTAATTGTAGGAAACAAAGATTTCAAATTTGCAAATTGCGAAGTTTGGGAATTGTTTCGTTATAGAAAGGATTTAAGGGAGAGGGCACTCATACTTCGTTTAAATCTAAAATTTTAGATTGAAGGGTTTAAAAGAACTTAGTCTTGGACATATATGAATATCGTGTTGAAATGGTTTGACATTGGAAGTTTAATATATGGAAATATTATAGCAAGAGACTGAACAAATATTAGGTCTTTATGTAAGACATAATGAATCGACCCCCATATGCTTCAGATATAGGATTGATAACATATGCTATAATATTCACTTGTTCTGATTTTTCCAAATGTCTAGGGCATTGAGAGGGAAAAGGACTAGAACTGGATGTGACTAAATTTGAACAACTGCTAAGAATGTTCTGAGGTTTACCAAAGGAACGGTTACTTGTGGATAGTTGGAAGTATAATATTGGTTGGAAGGACCATAGTGACATGTTTTAGATTGGGATGATTCTTGATCAAAATTGATGGTCACATGGGAATATGGAAAATGTTTCCATAATGGAAGTTGATGATAAAATCTACATGTGAGTTAGTGTAACATCCATGAAATTTTGAAAATTTTAAAACTTTTAAATAAATCCGAAAACCATCATTTATTACAATTTGTTTTCAAAATAATTTCAACACCAGAGAAATCCCAGAAATCATGAAACAAATATGAGGAGGTGCACGATCATGCCTTCGCCTTCCCGCGATCCTCAGAAGTACCTGAAACATAATCCAAAACTGTAAGCCCGAAGCATAGTGAGTTCCCCCAAAATACCAATCACAATACAAAACCAGAATAATATCACAAACAACATGCATTCAGAGCCTTCAGTCTGACTGGAACGCCCCACCGGCCTACAATCTATCTGGTACGCTCACAGAACCTACATCATGACAGGTACGCCACCTCGGGCCTTCAGCCTATCTGGAACGTTCTCCGGGCCTTCGGCCTGACTGGTATGCCCCACTGGCCTTCGGTCTATTCGGGACGCCCTGAGTCTGTTGGCCTTCAGCACAAAGCAGGTCTGCCTCAACCCACCCACACATGTCGACATATATGTATCACATGTGTTAGTATGATTATATGTTTATATGTTTATATATGTATCAGGCGGGGCCTGGTGATTGACATATCTGTAAACCGAGCCTGGCTCGATGCCGGGCGGGGCCTGAGGCCGGGTGGGACTCGATGCCGGGTTGGGCCCGATGAAGGGTGGGGGCCCAATATGTATTTATTATGTATGGTATGTGGTATTTTGGGGAAGTCACTAAGCTTTGTGCTTACGGTTTTTAGTTCACATTTCAGGTACTTCTGGTTCAAAAGGGAAGAGCCCGGGATGATTGCAGAGCACACACCACCTCATTCCGCATTTTGTGATTTACTATGATATTTTATGATGTAGTGATACACTTTGACCCATCTTGGTTGTATGACAATGTTTTGGATTACCGTTTTATAAAAATTAAAATGAAATTTTTTGGGTCTTATTTTTGGGACGTTACACTTCCACCACTAGCTACCACCCTTACCCCACCCAATCTACCACCACATGAAGATGAAAACATCCATTTGAATATCTTCCAACAAAATCAACACCAAAATATTACTCCTAAATATGTGTTATGAACTCGAGGATGAACCGGGTGGCTATGC